TCCTGCTGTCATAGTTTATGTAAAGCTACACAATATAGTTTTTGTAACATTTTATTGCTATAAGTTTATTACCAACACTAGCTTTTTTTTTAATCACTTCAGTCACAGTATCAGGAACCAAAAGGAACACAGAACTGCCTGCCCATTGCAGAAGTTTTCCCGGAAGCCTAACTGACAGTGATGACTAAAAACCAAGAGATTAAATTACTTCCCTAAAGATTCCACATATTCTCACTATTTACAAGAAACAAATCCTCTTCTAATTCCTCCTCAACTTCACTTTTGTTGCTTGTAATATTTGTGGTAGTTCTAATCAATACATGGAACTAGTTTTATGTACTATCTTTTAGGAGTTCCCATAACACCTTGTATTGCCACCACAGAACACTGATTTTCCAACTCTAAAATTTGGAATAATCATATTGAAATTCCTCTTAGAAAGAGGAAGAAATTTAGACTGCTAAAATATCTTCAAGTCTCTATCACTAGGGGAGTTGTCATTTTTAGATTTTAATATTGTTGATTTTGAGACAATTGATAAAAGCACAGAGCTGCTATAATTTAGTACATCTATCTCACATAAGCACTTTGGAATCCTTTTATGTCATAGATAAGGGGCTTTTTTTGGATTCAAAAGGCAATCATTGCAACATTTCTGCGGGGTGGCCAAAGCAATCTGCTATTTGTAGTTCAGTTTTTTGGATTTTAAATAAATGGTTCTTCCCAGTAGCAAAGTATTTCTAAAAGAAAGATTTGTTTGTATACTGCAAATCTTATTTTGTGTTTGTAACTACAAAAGGAGCATCTATGTTTATACTGCTCCTTTTCACACTCAAACATTTCACATCCTTTATTTACCAAGGAATAACTCAATACAACAGCTTACCATGAATCCTTTGATTGTTCTATAATAGGAATCTAGTAAGAGAGCTCCAAGAGAACAAACTTGGGAAGTTCTATCCCAGCCATCTGAGCAGTGCACTAACACACTCGCGCTCTCAACCGCTATTGCCTGCAAAACACAGTTGTTTCTTAGAGAATGTTCTATTCTAGACAGAAGTCAAAATTTAGCAAATACAAAAGCTACATTCATCCCAAACTCACAGCACAGACCATTTTACTTAAAGCTAGAAAAATGTTTAGTATCAAATCCTTTCCTTATAGTATTAGAAAGCTAGAAATTCCTCTCCATGGAAGTATAGAAAATTCCTTATAAAGAGAAGAAATTCCACGACTTTGCACAAGATAAGAACATCTACAGTGGTTTCTAGTTCTCTTTCTACTCCTTATAAAACTAAACTTACAAAAACTCCTTGCAATGCATACCAAGAAAGAAGTAGACTACACATTACAGACCAAACAGGTTAAAAAAGCCAAAGCAACACAATCATTAAAGATACCCACTTCATAGACTGGTTTGGGCTAAAAAGGGACCTTAAAGATCATCTAGTTCCAACCCCCCTGCCATGGGCAGGGACACCCTCCACTAGACCACGTTGCCCAAAGCCCCATCCAACCTGGCCTTGAACACTTCCAGGGAGGGGGCATCCACAGCTTCTCTGGGCAACCTGTTCCACTGCCTCACCACCCTCACAGGGAAGAATTTCTTTCTAACATCTAATCTAAATCAACCCTCCTTCAGCTTAAACCCATTACCCCTTGTTCTGTCACTACACTCCCTCACCATCTTTCCTGTAGGCCCCTTCAGGTACTGGTAAGCCGCAATTAGATCTCCCCAAAGCCTTCTCTTCTCCAGGCTGAACAACCCCAACTCTCTCAGCCTGTCCTCATAGGAGAGGTGCTCCAGCCCTCTGATCATCTTTGTGGCCATCCTCTGGACTCACTCCAACAGCTCCATGTCCTTCTTATGTTGAAGGCCCCAGAGCTGGATGCAGTACTCCGGGTGGGGTCTCAGGAGAGCAGAATCACCTTCCTCAACCTGCTGGTCACTTGTTTGTCATTATACTACACAAGAGTTAAAAGGACTAGGAAATGCTTATTAGCTTCAGATAAGAATTCAAATCTCATTAGCCCAGATATTTGAGGGTCATCTTTAGGAGAATCATCCACTTTAAACTTCTTATTTCACCTAGCAAAACAAAAATCTATTTTTTTCCTTCACCTAGTCCCCCAGAGGTGAAGCCCTTGGCCTCAGGTGTGTCTGGCAAAGGCAACTGTTCCTCTGAATTCTTCAGAGAGTCCCATTTCCTTGCCAAATGAAGTCAGCATAGCTGGTTTGGCTTCTCTGCCATTAGTGTCCCAGGAATTCTGTTTTTCAGGGTACCTTAAGTAATAGTTTGTTCCATCCACCTCCAAACTAGTTACACCTTTCATAAATACTTAAAAGAACCAGGGAGCATAAGAATCCTTCATCTCCCAATAAGGTGACCAAACAGCACCAAAAAATATCTCAAAACATTAGCTTGCATATTTAACATCTCCAATCATAAAGAAACATGCAATACTTAAAACAGTATATCAGATGTATCAGTGTATACTAAGTATCTACCTCAAAAAGGTCAATTGCAGAATTTTACACATTACAATATTAAGATTAATTTTGCCTGTAGCAAGTCAGCTTCCCATCAAATAAAGAAGCAAGTTACCTTGACAAGGAAGACAGCAGCATCCAACACAGCTTTGATGTGACGCAGCCAGCCAGAATTCTCCAAACCAGACAAAAAGTCATTGACAGACAAACCCTTTGTGCCACTGACTGAAAGAAACCAAGAGTTAGAAAGCCTTAAGCAGTTGCAGCTACCTACATCCTGCAATGGAGAAAGAAGAATAATTGTATATTGTTTCCACTATCCTATGTTGTAAGTTAATTAGAAAACTTCCAGGAAACCACCACTCAAATGGTTGAGAGGAGTACTACAAAACATTCTCCATCCAAAATTCAACTCTGTAGAACTACAGTAACCATGAATGATAGGAGTAAGATCTTTGTGCCTTTTTGACAAAGTAACATTCAGAGTAAATACACTGGTTATCCCCAATAGGCAGCCTTACCAAGAAAGGCAAAGCAAATGTCAAAATCTTACCAGAAATAATTAAAAATTTCAACTACTAGTAGGAAGTAGCTGCATCCAGACAACATACACAGACTGCCAGTTATATCACCTTCTCCGCTCTGCTTAGGAGAATAAAATTAGTGCAGTACAAGGACATGATGATGAACTGAAAACTATCAGGATTTTGCCTACCTCCAGACTTGACATACTCCAACTCTGACTGATTGCTACCATTCTTCCCTAGTATACTTTGATCCTGTAACAATAATGCTGATTGAGAGGGCAGGGAAGAACTCAAGTTAAAGGAAAGATGCCTTGCAGCGTAGCAGCGAGAGGTGTAGAGGTAGGTTGAAAGCTTCTCACTCACACTCGTTCACAAGTGAGACAGGTAACCTGGCTCTTGTATGATTTTGAGTAGCAACTCACACAGTTACTTTACTGTCCAAACATCACAAGCTTCTGGCAACAAGAAACAAAATATTTGCTGCCTAATACAGCTTCAGCTATGGGTGATTTTAAAAGATACCCAGGGTTGTCATTTACAAAAATACCTACCCCACCACAGCAGAAGCCTACTTTCTTAATGGTTGGACTTGATGATCTTAAAGGTATTTTCCAACCAAAACAATTCTATAATTCTAAGCTAGTGGGCCCCAAATTAAAATAAAAAGGCTCTGCAGCTGAAAACTGTCAGTGGGGATATTAATACAGCAGCTGCAAAATAATCTTTATCTCTGACTATGGGAGGAAGTGAGTCAGTAGGAAAAGTAGAGAACAAAATTCTCCAAGTCATTCTGTGACACAGTTTCACATTCAGTCAAGTCCCCTGATGTAACGAAGGCTATAAGCTCTTAAACCAGTGCCTTACAGAGCTTTTCTGTGTCTGCACTACATGTTTCTCAGCTTTCAGCCATACAAGTTTTGGTATACTCCCCACTGCTCAGAAAGAGTCATAGTGCCAGTTGCAGCTGAATGCTGTAACAAAGGCTTCCAAATAAGCATCAGAGAACCTTTTCTAAAGCCCATAGATCTGTCATCTACAAAAATACCTAGCAAACCATAGCACAATGAGGTAACAAAAAAAAAAATAATCAAGAAACCACTGGATACAAGACCTAATTTTAAAGGTTAGTCTGTAAATATCAGCAAAGGCTACACTAGTTTTCCCCGCTCTTTGAAAGAGATAGCATTGTTAGTCAAGAGTTCCACTTCCAAAAGCTCTAGCACATGGAAGAAGTCAGCTGAGAACTACTTGATCCCTTCAGCTAGCTCACACTCTCTTTACACCACTGGTTCCATACACCTGTTCAATCACAATAGTGCACAAACAGGTCCACCACTCTGTGGTAAAGGAAAAAAACTAAATACTCTAATAACTGGAAAGTCAGACATCTGCAGGGAAGGGATTGGACAGATGAGAATGTCTAGAAGCACTATTCATGGCTGCTCACCCCTATATTCTGTAGCTTACAGTTTAAATCACAAACTTTCAGCTAGAAAATAAAGAGGCTTCCAGCGCTTCATTTGTTTTCAGTCAGCTGCTGCTGTCAAAATCTGCTTTTGATCAGAATTTTCAGTTTGGTAGAAATATTTCACCATTGGTATTTCCCCCTTCTAGTTAGATTTCTGTATTTTTTACAAACCAAGGCAGAAATAAGAACAGATATGTTGAGCCCAAAGAATTACTTTCCATTTCTGTGAATTAAGACAGACATTTTTATACTACTTAATGATGAAATAAAGAAACTGCATTGACACTGTTTTGACACTTTATGCTAAAAAAATAATTTCTAGTCCCTTATGGTTCCTAAAGGGTCAAAGATGATTTATGGTACCACTAAGATGTTTAGCTACTTCACAAAAAACTATCATTCAAGATAGTTTTGGCTATCACTTCATAAAAATATATGTGCTGCATGCATGTGAGCCCCAAAACCTCAGTGGTCCATTGCTTGATTGTCCTTATCCACACTACTAGCAATGCCTCAGGCAGCAGTTCAAGAGGTGACTAGAACCTGCAGGCTGAAGCACAGTAAGTTGGGGGCAGAGGTGGTTTAACAAAGAAAAATAAAGAATCCCATTGCCCATATACATTCCACATAACCCACAAAAAAATCCTTAGTTAACACACTTCTGTCATCAAAATATGCACAGCAGACCACAGTGACTATTATTGAGCCTCTTCCTCAAATATTTTCTGCAGAAATACTGTTACTTGACATACACACAATCTTTTTGCTTATCAGAGTTCAATCTTTTCTGATATGTAATACTATGTTTTTGAATATATAAAAACTGGAGTTTATGTTTAATACCATAGCCACAAGTTTAGTCTATGCGAAGATTCTTCCATTAGTGTTGTATAGATGGGCAGTCTGCTCATCAGGGGAGCACAGTCATCACATCCACACTGAAGAAAATTTTAGAAGAGTTTTGTTTCACTGCATACAAGATATTTAAAGCAGCTGAATCAGATGAAGAATAGACTGTAAATCCCCCCAGCACGGTCCATGGTGTAATCCTTCCCAACATCCTTTTGCAATAGGACAATGTCTTACATTCTGCTTGCAAACGGAATCATTAGATTCTGAAGGAAATCAGGCAGATAGACACAGAACTTAGGAGCAGGACACATGCTGAAGAACGAACAGCAGTTGTTTGTTACAAATAAAACTGAGGACAGTCCCAGCTACAATGACTCTTGAAAGAATAGGGTCATTGGTATCACATTTCTGATTTGAGAACATTCAGTTCAGCACATCCAGGGGAAGCTGGTACACAGAAGTTAAATAGCATTTTCTTCATTTTAAGCTATAAACCATTTTTATAGCATTTTTTCCCTGATCAACCACTGATGGCACGTTTCTACAGGAGTCTGAAGTGTTATTGCATACTTCCCTAAATTTTAGGGATCTTTCCTACCCTCAAATATGTTTATTTCATGTTTTTCTGGAAAAATGTAATTCCCTTCTGAAGGGAAAGTCTGAAGTTTAACTGTGTGACACACACACTTCTGCATCAGACATTATTCCATAGGAGCAGGCCTCTAAAAAAGAAATCAAGATTTATTAGCTAGTTTTCTTTTGCTAGTATCTTCAATTCCAGAAATCAGGATTATCTCACATTTAAAATTGAAGTTCAGGTTCCAGCTGCTCATTTTTCCCTTCAATAACAACCACAAAAATACATATTATCAAAGCTTAGTAGCATTCCATACAGAGTGCCTGAAGAATAGGTTAGCAGCAGATACAGGCTTAATGAGAATGAAATCAGACTATACCACTAGCCTGTAAGATTTCTTGACGAGTATAGCCAGAATGTCTTCATCAAAACAGGCTTCCATACAAGTGTAAGGCTTCTCCATGACTGGAAGTATTTGCATAATTCCAGAAGGCAAGCACTTGTATATGTATGGTTTGTCAGGTGCGGAAGCCTGGCTTCTGCCACTGTACTCTAATCTCAGTATTAATACTCCACAAAGTGTCCTTTTTTTCAGCTGTTGACCTAAATAAAATATTAACAGAACTAATTAGTAGACTTCTGCCTGTCCATTTTCATCACCAGGTGGCAGGCAGTGGTATGGTGAAGTGGTTCACTTTTACCCCACCCACTTCCCTACAAACACTCTAAGATGTACCTACAAGCACAGAAGCGACTCACCGGGCCCAAGAGCTCAAGTTTTGTACAATTTTGTGAATTCTGTGGAACTAAGTGCTCCTTGAAAAATCAGTACTCTATATATGAAATGTACAGACACACCCATTTTGTGTATTTATATTACACATGTGTATATACATGCGTGTATACTTGGGACACACAGAAGTCTTCTCAACAAGCCACTAACACTCATCAAGTCCACCCAAGATTTATGTCCCACTCAATTTTCTTCAAAAATCATTGTATTCATTGGGTTTACAGTTTAAAGGTAAAATTTTAAGGTAATTCGTTACCACAGAGCACAGCAAGTTGCTACTAAACATAGAGCTGGGATAAAACATACAAATATCAATACAGTTTGTATAAGCTATTATTAAAGACTTCAGAAAAATATTTACCCTATTTTCATATACACTATTATAGCACAGTTAGAACATACCTTCCAGAAGTTTTTGTAAGCTGGATCTCATTACATGAATATTTTCAATGCCAACAAACTGGAACCTAATGTTAGAGTAGTTGTCTTCATTTTCATAGCCCTTCCCAGCAGCTCTGTTTGCCATTGCATTAAGCTTAAGAGAACAAAAAACACCACAACTGAAAAACAGTGCTTGACATAAAAAAAAATCTCAAAATAAAAAGTGAAAGACATGCAATTTCAATGGAATACACTGGAAAAAACCCAAACACACAAGAGTACATACTATAAACAGATTCTAAAATTAACAGTTTGTGGCAAATCAACTTGAAAGCATTCAAGTGTCAGAAAGGCACGGTGCATAAAGAACAGGCAGTTTATATTTAGAACTGACATCTGAATAATGCTTTTAATTTCCTATTCTCTCCTCCATATTCCTACAAACAAATCTTTACTTATTTCCAAACATTTCTGAGCAAAGATGCTACAGAGCCATTAACCTAAAAGGGAAAAAGCAAGACCCAGACTTAACCATACATTTAAGGGTTCTTAACATATATGCACTTTCCAGGCATCCTAAAAGTGTCAGTTTTGGGGGTAAGCAGCTAATAAATTGCTGCAGCTATAAAAATTAGAACTACAAAAACCCATAGTTGGCTCAGTTTCAGTCTGTCAGTGCTGAACCCTGCCCAAAGTAAGTACAGATCCTACAGCGTAGGATTTTCACTTTACTCCTTGTTTTCATAAAACCATAGAATTGTTTGGGTTGGAAGGAACCTTAAACTAGGTCGAAGTTTTCCAGCTCCTGTGTTCAGAGATTTGAGTGAAATGAATAGCAATTTAAATGCAGATGGTCTAAAGAGTGAAAGTTACCCCACACATTCCAACACAGGTCAAAACACCAACATAATTCAATTTAATTAGACAGTGATGAAGTATGAACTCAGAATGCTACAACTGAATTTTACCCACTTCTTCCTAGCTAAGACAGCAATAGCAGTTTTCACACACACAGCATACAGTTCTCCCTCCCATTCTAAAAGAAACCCCCAACACAGCTCGCTATTAATTTAATTTCAAACATTACAATGACTTAGATCCCACTCAATATTCACTTCTTAACTATGTTTTAAGTATATTTTTTAAATGCACCTCCCCAAAAGTTCACTAACGTATTCAGTCAATTCTAGCTGAGTCCTGAGAGGGGTTCAACTTCTTTAAGAAAGCAAGAAATTAGAAGACTGAACAAAGAGGCCTAGCCTCACATTTAAAGAACTTTTTTGCCCAAAATGGAGTCCTATTTAACTCCAAATCTTTCAGAATTACACTGTATCCCTGTACTCTAATGTTCAGGAAGATAGACTAGTCCGTAGAAGCTGAAGTACATACCTTTGGCCTGGTGTCCATGACATACATATAGCGATTTGAAGGATTTGCTTTACTGATGGCCTGCAACATGTGTTCATCTTCCAGGCATCTGGCACTGAAACCTGAGAGAGGTTGACTGCATCTGCAAATCGCAGCCTACCACAGAAAACAAAGAACAAGTCAGCATTGGTTTAATACCTGTAGTTGAAATGCTTTGCACAATACTAAAGAGACACTGAAACTAATTGTTTCATTCAGCAGACAACAGCACTGAACTGCAAATAAGTTTAGGTGTTCCAACTTTCCAAGCATGTCACACTTGCAAACCTTCAAACACAGTATCTACCACTTAAATCTAAAGGTTTATCAAAACATTTTTTCAGGCTCATCTACATGGGCAAGGTACCAGTTTACACGTGGACTTTCCCCAAGTATAAAAATTCAAAAGTATGGGCTGGAAAAAATATATTTTAGGAAATCATGAAATTGGCATGAAATTCATTGGTATGAAATGAATTATAGTTGAGTTTACTACTGCAAGTATGATTTTATTATTGCAAGTACAATATGTTACCATCTGATGTAATTTTCATCATGTCATTTTCAATGATCTACTGTATTTCAGAAGGTATCAGTTGTATCTTCCAACTAGTAATTATGTTCAAATGCATACAGTAGCTTAGTACTCATCCTTCATAAATTCAACTCAGTAAGGTGACACTCCTTCTCTCCCTTCACAGACACCTCCTAGCCAAGACAGGCAGATGCTGCTTCACACCACTCTCTACCAAACTCTGGAAAATCTTATTTATCATCCTCTATTTTTTTTACCTTATGAATTCCTCCTTAAAGAACCAGTTCTAATCTTTTAGTGATTTGTTGAGGTTTTGGTTGTTTGTTTTTTGCATTTTTTTTAACCCCCATTTTGACCTAACAGATTTTATTCTTGATATACCAAGGAAGACAGATCACTTGACAAAGGCTATCTTCAGGTCAGTTTCCGAAAGCTTTAAGAGATTCAACTGATTACTGAAGGATTTCTTTTAAACTGGCTTAGCTTAATTCAGCATCCTGTTAGACATCACTACTGTCAGCTGTATTTAAGGTTATCATGAGTTATACCATTCTCCTACAAGTCACCAATTACTTCCTTACTTGCCCTAAACTACTGCCAAGTGTTGAGAAATAATTCTCAGCACATTTGCATTAAGAGGAAGACATGCTATACCTCTTTATTTTTATGATAATATGACAACACTGGGAATCTTCCTTTGCTTCTGAACTTGGAGCTACCAACAATTATGGGCTTGCTTGCAGTTCTGGGAACATAAAGTTCTCTAGGATAGGTTTCACAAATCTGAAAGACACACATACACAAAAAGAATTTTATGTACAATGTACAAAGCCTATATTAGTTATTACATCTGAGAGATGTTAGGTGAAATAAGAGACAAAGAATAAATGCCAATATGTGTGTGTATATATACATACACACAAATAGCTCAGGAGACAAACCATGGATAAATAAGTATATATTGGTATCTAAGCTGTACAACCAAGCACTGCTATACTAGTGTTCACCTCAAGAATATGACTCTTCAGTAAAAGTACTAACAATATGTTTCAAATAAAATATTGAAATTATTTCCCTCACTTTTGTGTTTGCAGACTACAAAGTAAGATGAAATCTAATTTGGCAATCACCACAGCCAGCACTGTAAATACTAATGTAGAATCCTTCTCAGTGAAGAGAGATAAGAAAGCTGCAGAGCACCAGAATTGCTGGGGCTGGGCTTCAAACAGGTAAGTATACTCTAGAAACAATCCCAAAGAACACGTGCATCCATACACACATACTCTCTCAATGAGGCCTTAGAAAAAAAAATTCAATTAGAAAGTTGTGAAATAGCATACTGATTAAGGAGTTAACTCTCTCCACCTACAAGTTTTTGCTTATGCTGCAAGCTAAGTGACTTCATAGTATTAGACTGTTTTCTATAGGGCTATAGAGTCAGAGGATAAAGTAGAAAACAGATGCAGAGCAAAACATGTCTCCATTACAATCCTTACCTTATAATCACGATTTGCATCGGACAACTGCCAGTTAGCATTTGGCACTCCCATTCTTTTATACTCTTCTGCTAGATCAATAAGCTGCCAACCTTTGACTTGCTCAGATTCATTTTGTTTTGGATTATAGGAGAAGGCATACAGTTCTTCATATTTTGCTAAAAGGGCAAAGAGTAAGACTGTGAGCTGTCCCCCAAAACATCTGAGTGGAGAAAGGTAGCATAGTTGGCAAGTCTTGAAATTGCCCAAATTGCAGAGAAAGTTTTAGGCTTCAAGATTCTCAGAAGCAAGACTAAATAGACACTTGACACTCTTGAAATATTTATTCTCCTACTATATACAGTTAACTGACACAATTATAGATATTTAGTTAAAGGTAGGTTACAAGAGCTTCCCTGAGTGTTTGACCTTTTCTAAAGCTGTAAGGGCAAAGCAGAGGTCACAAAATTAAACAAGACAAGAGGCAGAATTATTAGAAGACTTCACAAAACCTAAAAGAACAAAGTTTTGAGAGGTAAGAACAGAAATTTACATCTACTGAGCTTTAGAAGCAGTAAGTTTTAAAGCTTCCTTTAAAGCAAAAGAGCTTTCAAAATATTCTGTGTTTTTTCCTAATACACTATTCACATATCACAGATAACAACAGTTTACATTGTTCTAAATACAAAGCAGAAAATGCAAAAGACCACATTAGGTGACAGAAGTCTTTTGTAAAGCTGAATTGGTAGTGCTATTTTAGCATCAAAACTTCAGTTTTATTTTTGAAACTGTGTTAAATCAGTAATAAGTTAGTGTTTGTTTAGCAGCATTTTGTCTATGAACACACCAATTAAGAGAGACTATACACACTTAGTGTCACAATTTCAGGGGTAACAGTAGAAATGCAAAAAAAGAGATACAGGAATCTCACATTCTGTTAGTGAACATCAGTGACCTACAAAAGCCAGACAACATACCTTCTGAATTTGTATGCAAATTAATACTTAATCATTAAAGTTCTTTTACGTACCAAATCCATTTAAGAGACTTCTACATAATGCACATTATTTTTAAAAATAAGAGCCATGGATTTTTCCCCAGCACCACCTTGTTATTCAGGCATATGCTGCAAAGTCTTTTACAGTTAAAAGTATTACCTGTTCTTGACAGCTGAAGCAAAGAGTTATAGATGTCATGACAATCTCTCTCTCTGGGAACGACAAAGTGAACTATCCTGAAGTTCTTGCACTGGATAACAAGGGGGCAGCCAGAAGTAGTCAAGGGAAGTTTTTCCACTGCAGCAATGTGATGATGTAATATCTATGGCATACAAGAACTCACAGCATAAGCACGCTGATAAAAATGAGAACAGCATACTGTTTACAAGAGCAGATATAAGATACATTAAGTGATGCTGAATATGGATTTTGACTAATTTTGTCAATCAGTTAAAAAAAAAGAAATTTAGAAGAAAAAACCCCAAGACTAGTATTTTGGTCAGGATACCATAATATGACAAAATTTAATTATTCGCTTCCCTCATATTCTGAGGTGTTACCTAGTGTTTGTAAGGAACAGCAAATATCCTTCTAAATGCAACAGTGAGAAGTAAAACTACACTGCAGTTGTTCGGTCCTCTTCTATAACATTGCTAACTGACAAGCATACATCTAATTATACAGGGTCCAAACGGTATTTTTTTTTTTAAATGATCTACAGGAACATACTTCAGAATTTTCATGCAAAATAAAGCAAGTCAGGGAAAACAACTCAAAGTATAAGAGATACAGAAGATGCTGAAGATTTTAGAATTCCAGTATTTAACATCTACAGAACGAACAGGAGATAAGAAAAGCATCTCCTGTATTGCCCATTGTGCTATGTAGACATGACAGTCTCTCAGCCAAATGCCTTTCAATCACTTTAATTGAAGACTTGTATATCCATACAGAGTCCTCCATAGATTTAGCTGTGCAGCAAATCTACACAAAATTTAGGAAAAATACAGCTGTTTAACCATGGGAGGAAAGCCACAGATATATTACCTCAACTGAACAAGATGTTCTTGACAGCATTTCAATTACCTCACTGAAACAATCATCTCCTCTTAAATATTGATCAGAATTAGACAGGCATCTGAAAACTATGCTGTCAAATATGCATTACAAAGAGACTATATCTTAGAGACATTATCACAATTATACTTGGTACTTGCATTATCATAGAAATGCAATACTCTGAGTATAGGTTCAATTCCCTCAAAATAAAACCTTTTAACATAGTGCACAGGGAGATGCAAGTAATGCTTCCCAATCATGTTCTCCCCAGTAACCCATTTTGTATGAAAGGTACAGGCCTGACACCAAGACAGTGAGCAGAAAAACTAATGGAAGTTACTATACTTGCCAATTTTGACTGTATAATATTGGTAGCGGTCATCAAGAAGCTGCAGCCCCTTCTGAATTCTTTTATTCTGGAGATGAACACTTGGGAAGAAACAGTTGCTTACCACTCTAAAAAGGGGCGTGGGATCTTCAATATTTCACCAAAGCCTAGGTATTTGGATTTCGCTGTCTCAATTAACCTAGGCAGGATCTAAATACGAGGCAAGCTAATGCAGAAACTTAAAACCTGATGCTTAAACTAGCTAGCAGTCTCCCACTCCTGCCTCTGAATTGCAGTGCAAGTCAGTTGTTTAAAGAAAGCCACCACGCATTCACTCAGGAATACAAATGAAAGCTATAGAAGAAATTACAGTAGCTTGAAGAGAACCAATATTTTCAACATTACCTGTTTTCTGCTGCAGTAGTGTCATGGGAGAGTACAATCTGCAAATCATTAACTTATTATGATACCATGAACAAGGAGAGCATGGGGAATAACTTAGATGAACATTTTAGCAAACAAATTCAACCTTAGATCAGGAAGAAAACACAGATCTGAAGAACCTCTGCTTTCGAGCCACAAGCATTTGTTATCCTTACCCATGTTTCTCTCTGGCTTGAATCTATGAACAACAGATGAGTTGCCGTAAGGTATAGAGTTCCTGTCAGCGACTTATTGCTTGCACTGAACCTATCTAGTAATTTCACTTGTTCTACCTGTAAGAAAAAAGGGAAGGGGGAAAAAAGTTTTTGTTTTTTCTTCAGAACACATAATCCTAACTTCACAAAAAGCTTTGTCAGTTTGTGCAATAATTTTGAAAGTGGTAGAAAACATAACACACCACACAAGACCATTCAGGCCAAACTATTAAGAACACACTAGTGGTCACATAAGCTTTGAAAAGGCTCACTACTTAAAATATCCCCTTTCAATACAAAAGCACATAATGAAGGCATAAGGCTAGGCTCATCAGAATACTTACGCCATTTACATAACTACTATGGTTATTTGCTAGTAAAAGAGACTGGGGTATCAAGTTTTTAAAAAAATAATTAAGAGCAATGAATTACTAAGCTTTTAGACTGCTCCCCAAAGTAACGCAAACACACACTAACAATTTCCTGTTACTGAGATGCCAGCACTGAATTAACAGCTGATCTCAGCAACATGCTTCATTGGCCATTTGCAGACTCAAAGCTATAAAGATTATGTCCTCCTGACTCCACTTGTAGTCATCTACCATCTTTTATATCACCCCCAACTTTAAAAGTCTAGATCATCATAACCTTGCCTCAGTCAAAATAAATTCTAATGAAATGCAAGTATTATACTAATAATTATAACAATCTCCTAGAAATTCAAGGACTCTGCTGGCATTAGAAACAGCTATTTAAAGCTTAAGGCTTGCAAGGGCAGATTTCTCCTCCTGGATAACATTAACACCATTATCTCAATACTATGGAAAAAGATTTCAAAGAAAGCAATTTTGAGATAGCTTGCATTTTTATCTGCTGCTCATACAGCAAACTGTGGAGCCCATGAAGGTATCTGAAGCAAACATTACATGATTCTTTGTGTGCAACAACAGGAAAGGAGTGTGGTGAATAGCTTATCTGCATGCATTCCTCTATTTCTTGGCAGCATGTCTTATCAGTGCCAAGTTAAAGCTCTTATGCTTGAGGCTTGCTGCTACTGCCATTAAATGCCTGGCAGAACTCCAAGAACTTCCACATCAGCAAGACCAGCACCCAGATGAGGTAACTAGGAAAGCCCACATCTACTGTGCTGATGTTAAGCTGCTTTTAATTCACATGTACAAACTTAATTATTTACTAAAAGCACATATAAACCACTAAAAATTTGTCTTTTCACTTCAGGTATTTCTTACCATGAACCACGACCTAGTTTTTTGTTTGAGAGTTAAAAAAGTAATTTATGCATGCAAAACAGAATGGAGGTACTAAAAACAAGTGCTACTATGATATTCCAGATTTCAGTTTAGAAAACAAAAAAAAATTGGAAGTTACCTGCACCAGTACATTATGCTGTAACCAGCAAGATACCAGTGCTCAGAGTAGCACAAATCAATATAGCACAGCCAAAACGCAGAATCCATTCTGGGCAGTTCTACAGCGGCAGCTGCTCAGGTACCTGGCACTGCACCTCCCCAGCAAATCGAGAAGCGCCCAGAAACTGCTGCAGTTTTGTTCCAGTAACACAACCCACAAAATCCTGGCATGAGATGTTCCATTCTCCTCCATGTAACAAGACAGAAATACAGCTTTGAGAGTAGCTATGTTAGATGAGGACACACATTAGTGCTCCAGCTTCCTCTTACATCAGTGAACTTGAAGTTCTACATACAGTTTTCTTAAAGACAACTGAAATGTAATTTAGATTCAGCCTCCATAGATTGATTTAAACTTGACCCAGGCTTGCTTTAATGGGTACTCAGCTAGATAAATACTTTTTTTTTTTGCTTTTTAATTGTAAAGTTTGGCAAATCCTTACTTATGAAGAACAAGTCAGTCATCCATTTTGAAGAGAACAGGTTCACAAGATTAAGAGATTGAAGACTGCTATTGAGTTTTAGCACATCTGTAAATAAAGACCACGTAAGTAGTCAGAAGCAATATTCTGACAGTAGCTAGCACTAACAAATCAGTGAGTTTTTACACCAGTAAGAATTTGATCAGCTACCTCAAGAATATAGATTTACGGTGAAAGAGTCACCAAACAGTTTATCGGGACTAGGAGTTACAGATTAAAGGTAGAAAAAAAAAAGCAAAGAAACGTTTCAGTATAGGAGACAAGTTGGAACAGAAGAGAAAGCTATACCTCTGAAATCTTGCATTAAAAAAGCTTAAGGATTAAGTTAGAACAATTACACCAAGACAAAAACAATACAAGAATACAATTTTGTATGACATTCACTGAAGTTAAAAGGAGTTTTCCCTTCCCCATTTAAGTCTCAGGCTTGCAAACATAAGCTTAGGATTTAGCAGTTAAGCTAACCAAAACTCTCCATCTCTAGTAGAACACTCACCAGTATTTTCACTAAAACTGATTTGACTTTAAATATACAAACAGATTTGACTGAAGAAATTCCAGTCTTTTCTACTGTTTTGCTTTAAAGTATTTTTAAGGACAGTTTAGTTCTAATGTTTCATTGCAAAATCACAATATTTTTATTTGTAATTTCCCCATCACAACCACTTATGACATTGTGAACTGGGTTTCATCATTTGTTGCTATGTGAGTATATATTCTCAGATAGAAGTGATTTTTAAGTTAACCTCACTTCTTTCTTAATCATAAATCTATTGGATAGTTTAATTTCACAAAAAGCTACACTTTATTTCAGGAAACTGTGCTGACAGTTCTAAGACAATTTTAGCTTCAACATTTCCAGCAAACAAGTTTGAGGAGGAATAAAACCTATTTCATCACTTCTCCTAGAGATGACAGCTTCTCTACACAGCAGTTAATTTGTGCAAGACTGCACTGTTATTTCAAGCTTATTTCTCTATTCCTTTAATAGAACAAATCTAAAAAAACCTGAAGTGCTGTCAGATTAGAAACAGTAGATGTCTTAGAACAGCTGGAGTAAGATCCAACTTGAACCTCCACATGCAGTGAACTTAAGGCCCACAGTGCAGGCTGTACTTTAGTTTTCTTGCTTCCTATAACTGTAGTACTCGTAATTATTACCATCTAGCATATATGCTTTTTAATCCACCTGAATATTCAATAAACCGACAGCTTACAAAAAGCTAATCGAGCATCACAGTTATGACCAAAAACTTACCAATTTCATGGCTAGAAATAGCATATTTTTAGAATGGATTTTTTTGGTATGAATTATAAAAATAATTGTTTCAAGTAGTAAGTCTGGTATTTCAGAGCATCTCTCTTCAGTTATATTGCTACATGAAGTATTTGTTCCCCAGCAGGGGCCCAAAAAACATGCAGAAACACAATCACTTGCAGATGCAAAGAAGTCAATGCCCTATATGTAGCCTTTCTAGTCTCAATTTCAGGTTTGAAACTTAAACAGCTACTGGATCATCAAGAGACTTTGGGTTTAGTATAGTTTTTATTTTGAAATTACCTATTGACTGTAACAATACAATATTAAATTCCCAAACAAGAGTTTCAGGTTTATAAGTACATAGGCTGATAAAGAAACCTTATCTGCAATCTGTCAGCTTGGTGCAAGATTATTCCATCCAGTAAACTAAAGCATCACTAACAGTAGCTTGACCAGAAACCTTCCTCCTGTTTCACATATATACTTACAAATATACATGAAAAATACTAGCTATACATATTATATAAAATTTATATAAGCTATTACTAAAAAAAATTAAAAGCCTGTTTCTTTATATAATTATTGGCTATAAACCTACTATTTGGAGCTGAAATATGACCACTCCTTTTCTCCACATATCTATAAATCTAATTTAAAGTCAGACTACCAGGTTAGGGAACTAATTGCTTGACAGTTTCCAGGACCCAACAAGGGGTCTGTCTTTTCAGCAGCCCTAACGGTCAGGGCTGATGGGCAAGATGGGAAAAATACTGTTAGAAATGTAATTCTGTAAAAGCTGACTTACAAACTTATTTTAAAACTATTTACAGAAAGACTTTTTTTTTAATCTTCATTATAGAGAAAAGAGTAACAAAATAAAAATAGAAAACCAAAATCAGAACTCTACAGTGTCAACTGCAGCTTAGCTAATTTTTTTTAATAGCCTAACACATTGCACATATACCGACAGCTTGTATTCCTAACAACACACACCAGAGCATTTAAAAGGAGTAATAATTAAAAAAAGTATTGTTTTCACAACAGATTCGGTCCAAAGCTAGAAAAAAGCTGCATGGAACCGCTCCCCAAGTACAAAACCCAACGCCG